TGAAAGTTGAAAATGGCTTCTAAGAGAATCAAGTGGAACAAAACACAAAGAATCGCTTTTAGGATAATTAAAACTATTTTGGATTTTTTATTTATCAATCTGGTTTCTAATATAATTTCAGTTAAATGAAAGACATTCACAAAGGATATTAGGCATACATACATAGTTTCCTTCTTTCATTGTAGTTTAACATGCTGTTGCTTTTAGAGAGTGAACTTTTGTGTCATTTCGCAGGGTGGAATCCTAATCGACTTTACAGAAAGAATACTTAGCCCAGCTTTTCACAACCCTGACCTCCGCAGTCACGATGCTCACTGAAAAAAATGCAAAAACCCAACCAAACTTAGAATCAGTAACATCTGAACTGTTTCTTGGCCTACTTTGAGAGGATGTCTTCATAGCCATGTTAGAACCCAGCGGTGGCTGTTTGGAAATTAACTGAACTTGGAAATGTTGCAGGCCACCTGTGTAGACCTGATCTTAAAGTACATTTTCATCTGGAAAGTGACCTTGGAAGTGCATGTTGGATATTAATACCTGTGCGCTCAGGTATCTTTATAATCTGCCAGTCCTTGCTCCACGGGAGATAATCAACTTTTCAACACGGTTTCCCTATTTCATCGACAATGACTTCTACATACCACGCATACCCAGAAAATACTGCTGTGAAAGACATCTATTCTAAAGTTTCCAACATTATCATGCAGGGCGTATGTAGTGTAGGCACGTTGCCACTAGGCTACACGGAAAAATCACATTTGTTTCTTGTGTCGTCTTACGTACGAGCCAGCCCAATTGCATTGGGGGCATGTGTAAGCTGTAAGTCCCATCTGGGTGGGGACGCAGGGCTTTGTGCATGCGAAGTTCTGATTTCTCTGGCCTTCGGATGTTGCATCTTCCAGTATTGACAGGTTAGGTCCTGGGCAGTCTACGTGATTAACAATTTAGCAGCTGTACAGCAATGCCTCACAAGTCTGCACACTCCCGGATGTGGGCACATTGTTCATTTGGTGTGTCTTACAACCACAGGCCAGAAAGTAAGTCTTCCAGGGGGCTCCACTGACTTGGGTCTTTATATTTGGGTGTCAAAGGACGCTGCAGTCAAGACTCAATGGCCCCTCACGATTGTCCTATTAAGTGGGCAGAGCAGCTGTATCTTAAATATGGGGCAAAGAGGGACCAAGGTTCACCAGTTTGACAAAGGTCACGTGGCAAGCCAGGGAGAGAGAAAGGGTGAGGACTCTATCAGCTGATGCCCAGGGTCTACGCTCACCATATCATTTTAAACATGGCGCTCGTTGGTTTCAGCCCCAATCAGCTAGAGGTGCTGTCTGTCTCTCATCTATTTCAGGATCAGCTGGTTCTATTGTCACTAGTAACTTAGGACCTGTTTTTGGCTGGCTAACTGGCATCCAATTTAATACCTGCTGCCTTTCTTTTTGAAAACTGCTGGACAGGATGATGAAAAGGAAACAATATTAAGCGGTTTAAATGAGGTGCTAATTGTTTAGAGGCATAAAGAGACCTTTGCAATGCTTACCCCATACAAAAAAAGAGCAGATCCCGTAATAGAAGGAAAGAAAAGTTTCTTCCGGACGCCACGCTGACACTGCGTTTTCCTATTTGGTAGCTACTTTTTCCTTCGGTGCTTCCTATGGTGTGTGTCTTTGTGCCCAGCTCTTTGAGGGCATCTGGGGGCGGCTCCACAGACGTTCAACAGTAACATTAAGATCTACTCTTTGGCTCATGCCAGTTCTTTTTCCTATGCCTCTGAATCCCTGCTCCTGTTAGTAAAGGATGCTTGTTCATCAAACTCAGGGTAACGGGAAACTGTCCAACAAAGGCCCTCCAAACCCTTGTTTCTAGCTCCCATAGCCTTACACATTAAGAAGGGTCAGAGAAGAACTTGACAATGTAACTTCTCACCTCCTAAGCTAGTTTCCTTGTGCTCTAGGGAATATGTTATTTTGAGAGCTGAGAATGGCACCGATCTTGCTTTCAAAGTCCTGCTCCTACCTCGTCAAAACCTAGATGTTTGCTTTCTACGTGGAAGATGCTTCCTGTACAAACAAACTTAAGTCAACCATCAGTTCTTCCTGAAACTTTAAAGCAGCTTCTTGTTTCTAAATTTTTTTCTTTTTGTTTTTGTTTATTATTTAAAGAGGTTGCCACTAGCCCTCTGGACTAGAATGATAATGGACTGGGACAGAAGAATGTCAAGGTTTTGTGGGATGTGACTGACAAAGCAAGATTAGACACGGAGCTTGGATCACGATATCGTGAGCTTTCAAGGGAGGGAGCATCGTCCTGAGATTTCAAGGGAGGGAGCTGGAAAAAAGAGATGTTTCTTTATCTTCACATAAATTACTGACCATTTAGAACGTACTGGATATGGCCTTCATAGATACATTTAGGACTTTTGGTGAAGCCCACAATCCCAAAGAGAAGCCAAGGATTTCCAGCACTCCCTTGGCACTTAACTTAGTTACTTAATACCTTATCTACGTTTTTGTGTCTTGTCTGCTGGCCGGACTTACCCCCTTAAGGGCATACTGTATGTCTTAATGGCGGTGACATGGGAGACCCACTGAGCCCTCAGTCAGTCCAGTGCCCTAGGTTTGCAAATTTGGTGAAGGAAGTGTTGGGTTTTATTTTTCACCTTTTGAGGCAGGAAAGAGGGAAGAAGAGAGTGAAAAGAAAGGGTAAGGCCGTTTTAGTGTCAGGGACTGTTTTTGATTGTTTTAACCCCTTAATCATTTTGGGAAGAAAGGGAAAATGCTGACACAGTGCATAAAGAAGAAAGCTATCACGGGAAACACCAGAAACAATACATTTCCATCTGGCATTATTTGTGAAGTGCAAAATTAATAGCTATAAAGCAGGTTTAAAACAAATTCTAAAAAACCTTTCTACAAAACATAATGTTTAAAATTTGCTTTCGTAATTTGACAATACACGAAACAGCCCTTAATGGTAGTCATCAAAACAGGCTTTGTTTTTAACATGTCACTTGGGTTCTCCTGTTCTGCTCTTTAGTCGTACCACGTACTTTTCATTTAACAACGTGTATTATGGAATAATGATCAAGACGTCTTTAAGGTAAGGGTGCTCGTGACAGTGGCTGAGGGTCAGCAACTGTGAAAGGCGTTCCGATTCCCTTTTGTTCTGTTACCTCGACTCTGATGGGAATGAACTGGTCCAGTATCTCCTTTGGAATGTGTCATATACAGGTGCAGGGGGCCCTTGGCAACTCTAGATAACAGTTTTCATTACCCAAGAAACTGAGATCCTCCAAAAAGCAAAGGCATACTGAGAATCTTGAAAAATACGTACATATAACCCTAACAAACTAGAATTTCCATTTTATTGAGGCACGCTGTCAGAAAAACAGCAATAATACTTTTTGAACCTCATCTTACATGCTTCCAGGAGGAGAAGGAAAAAAGGGATCCTACTGAATTCCTCAAAATGTTGGAGTCTGAAAAAAAATTTTAAAGTACTTACTCAGAGTCTGAACTATCATGATCATAAATGGTAGTCATTCTAGAAATAGCTTGTGTAATTTACAAAAAGAGATCAATGAAATTATTTCTTGGATGCTTCAATAGGAGCTTTGTCCCATCTATTTACGCACAAAGTCTATCATTTTTAAATAAAACCAACGAGTTCTTTGTTGGAACAAGTTGGTCAAGATTCCTGATTAGACTGAGGTGTGACTAACTAGACGTGTCCATTCTCTGAGAAGCAACAGTCAGTTATCAGGTTGGTCATGAACCTAAGGTTCAGATGTATCTGCCAAAGAGGTCCCTGAATCGTGGCAGTGTGTCTGTTTAGGATGGAACAATACATGGATTAGATGATGGAAAATACGGCAGTATTTTCCATATGATTCTGGAGTAAAGCAATAATAATAGCAATCATAACCTGGCTTTATTGTGGCGTGTCCATTTGGAGGACATGGTCTGCTAGGATTTTGTCACAAGGGCTTAAAAACTAAGATTTAAAGCAAGATAAGAAGAGCAACCTAATTTATGCATCATTCATTAGAAAGTGTCCACACTCTTGCTACAACTCTAAAAGGAACAGAGCAAACAAATCATAGCATCTGGCTCTAATTCCCCACCGAGGTGCCCCCACACACATACAGTGTAACCTAACATGATGTAGGTAAAGCAGAGGAAAAATCTTTTGTAACAGCTGGTCACTACCGCATTGTAGCTGACAGTCACAGGTCATGAAGAGGTCTAAGACTATGCACACGGAACAGTATTAGCTTGTAGAATCTGATGAAAAATAAAACCAACAATCCCAATATACGAAACTACTTCCCCTGGTTCTTAATGCTTCTCTCTGCTGTGTTAGTTGTGTTGTTACACAACAGGTGCCATATGCTCACTTCCTTCAGTGCTTTAGGTGGGAATGCTCAGAGAATAGGCATAGATTGAGGTCTCTTTGAAAACTGGCAAACAATAGGTTCTGTTGGCCCCTTCCTTTCCTTTTCCAATTTACAGGACACCAAAAGAAATAGCATATGAACACGAACTAGTTACTACGACAGCCCATTAAAAATTGACTATATGCAAAAGGAAGAGAATGCTGGAGGCCATGTGCATCAACTTTTCTCAAGAAAAAAAATATCCACATTCTAAGGGCTCTTAAAAATGTAGAAAACTTGCCCTGTTACCATGGGTTTTTAGAACACCTCTAAACACACACAAAATAAGACAGTATTACCTACAAATTTCAATTGTTTCTTAAACTCTAAAAGCATTTTTTGTATTATTTTGATTTGATACAGACGGGGAAACTCAGCTATAAAGAAATATTAAAAAGTACTTTTTGTGGCGATCAGTCTCCAGAATTTTCTGTTGCTTGCCTCCCCCGACTTGTGCTGATATTTTAAGGATGTGCTCAAGAGTATAAAGTAGGGTGCACTTTTGTCCCGTTCCCTCCTCCCGAATAGCTAGCCCCTCCCTCTCCCACAGCCAAATAGCCACCCCTCAGATGAGCCATTCCTTTTTGCTTTCGTCAATGGTCTCTGTGAAATTGGGGTCGTTGTTCATGATGGCAGCATCCGCGCTCTCTGCTGACTCTGCTCCCTTTGCTTCATTGGTGTGGTAGGTGCCCTTGTGGCGGAACATGTACCGAATGAGGAAGACCAAGGTGCAGAGAATGGTGAAAATCACCACAGCGATGACACCTGGTGGAGGCAGGAGAGGCACTGGAGGTTAAACAGACCTTGTATACATCCCTCCAACACCACTTTCCTCGTGTTGCCATGGTTCTCTCTCATGCCACCCTCCCCCACACAAAACACCAGCAACACACATGGACAGGACTGAAAGGAGATTAGACCAATTCACAGTTATATTTGGAGATCTTAATGCTATTCTCTGAGGAACTGACAGACAGTTAAACAGAAGAGGAGGAACTACTGCTCAACTCATTTTATGAGGCCAGCATTATCCTGATAGCAAAACCAGACAAACACATCACAAGAAAACATAACTATGGGGCAACAGTCCTCTTTAATAAAATTTTAGCAAATCAAATCTGGCAATGTGTGGCAGAGAATATATTATGGTGAAGGGGTGTTAATTCTAGGAATGCAAGTCTGGTTTATCATTAAAAAACAAAGCGATGTAATTTACCACATTAAAGAAATATAGGAGAAAAAGCATATGACAAATTTCAACCTCCATTCATTGTGAAGCCTCTCAGAAAGTATCAGTAGAAGGAAACTTTCTCAACCTGATAAACTTCATCTACGAGAAACCTACAGCTAATACCCTAGTCAATACTAAAAGAGTAAACATATTCTCTCTAAAACAGGAAACAATGGAAGCAAGTCCTCTCTCTCAATGTACCAGAAATCCTTGTCAGTGCAATAAAACAAAAAAGAAATAAAAAGTGTACAGACTGTGAAGAAGTAAAAATTTTCTCTATTCTCAGGTGACATGACCATCTCTTAGAAAATCCTAAGTAATATATATATATGTGAAGTGTCTAGAACTAACAGTAAATTTAGCAAGGCCACAAAAATCAACTGTATTTTTATATACTAGCAAGAAAATACTTGGAAGAACATTTAAAGTAATAAAAACTTAAAAAAGTAATAAAACAATACCATTTATAATAAAACAAATTGAACACAGTTGTTCAAGGCTGTGTTCGCTCAAAACCACAAAACCTTACTGACAGAAATTAAAGACATAGATAAATGGATGGATAGACCACCTTTAAGAGCCGAAGCACTCAGTATTGTTTTGATGTCCATTTATAGACCTAACGCAATCCCAATGAAAATCTCAGCAAACTTTTTCTTTGGTAGAAATTTATAAGTTGATTCTAAATTTTATATGGCAATAAAGTAAAGGGTCCAGAATAGCCAACGTAATTTTGAAAAAACAAAAAAGAAATAGCTGGAGAATGCATGTTGCTGTCTCAAGACTTAGTATAAAGGTAAAACAATACAGCAAGCATGGTATTGGGTAAAGAAAGATATATAATACATCAACAAAACACAACAGAGTCCAGAAAACAGACATACACATATATGGTCTATTGATTTTTGACAAAAGTGCCAAGGAGATTAAATTTGGAAAAAGTATATAGTCTTTTCAACAAGTAGTTTTAGAATAACTGGATATTAGTTTGGAAAATAATGTCTTTGACCTTTATCTCATGCTATGTACCAATGTTAACTCAAAGTGATTACAGACTTAGTTAACAGAAACCAAAGCTATAAAAGTTCTAGAAGAAAACATAGGAAGAAATCTTCACAATCTTGAAGAGGCATATCATTAAAATAGAATTAAAAAAAATCGCAAGCCATAAAAAGATTAAAAAAATAAGACTTCATCAAAATTTAGATTTCTTGCTTTAAAAAAAATTACCACTAAGAAAATGAAAAGGCATGTCACAGATTGGAGAAAATATTCACAATACATATGTCTGACACAGGACTTGAACTATCTAGAAAATAAAAAAACTGTTATAACTCAAAAGAAGTCCAATAATCCAGTTAAAAGATGGGGAAGGAGTTTTTATTTTTTATTTTTTAAATGCTTATTTTTGAGAGAGAGAGAGAGAGAGGGAGGAAGGGAGAGAGGGAGAGAGAGAACAATGAGCGGGGGAGGGCAGGGAGAGAGGGAGACACAGAATCTGAAGCAGGTTCCAGGCTCTGAGCTGTCAGGACAGAGCCCAATGCAGGGCTCAAACCCACAAACTGGGAGATCATGACCTGAACCAAAGTTGGACACTTAACCGACTGAGCCACCCAGGCACCCCGGAGAAAGAGTTTTAAACAGACACTTCACAAAAGATTTAGAAATGGCAACAGGCACATGAAAAGACGCTCAGGGTTATTAGTCATCAGCTCATTGCACATTAAAACTGCAACAAGCTACCACTACTCATCCACTGGAGTGGTTCAAATGAAGAAGACCGACAATACCAAGTGCTGATAAGATTGTGGAGCAAGCCTGGCCTGTCAGATAGGAACTGCGGGGATGTAAACGGTTCAACCGTTTTGGAAAACTGTATGGCAATTTCTTACAGAGTCTAGTCTCCACTTTCTGTCACACCTGGCAACTGCACTCCCAGGAACTACCAAAGAGAAATGAAAACTTATGTTCACATAAGACTTCAACAAGAATACTCATAGCAGCTTTATTCAAAATAGCTCAGACCTGGAAACAAACCAAACAGCCACAGGTGAGCAGATAAAACGAATTCTAGTACATTCACACAGCAAAACACAACTTGGCAATAAAAATGAACAGCCTATCGATTCATGCAACCATGTGGACAGACCTCAGAAACATGACGTTGAGCGAAAGAAGGCACGAACAGATGACATACTCCATGATTCCATTTCTACGCCACTCTAAAGGAGGTAACAGTTATCAACACGGCAAAAAGCAAATCAGAGGTGGCCCTTCTTGGGAGTGGGGCAGGGCAAAGCATGGACTCTACGGGGGCACAAAGAGCTTTCTGTGGGTGGGAATGTTCCAGATCTTCATTGTGGTGGTGGCTACGGGTGTTTGTGTTTGTCACGAGTCACTGACCTGTTACGCTTACACACATGCATATCATGCTTCAATAAAGTTGATCTTAAAAAAACAAAACACAGGAGAGGGACCTTGATAAGACTGTACCGACATGATTGGACAATGTGATTTAGGCGGCATTCTAAACGTATTCTAGTTTTAGAGTCACATATATTTCTCTCTTTCTAAAAATGTTTATTTGAGAGAGAGGGAGAGACAGAGAGCGTGAGCAGGGGAGGGACAGAGGGAGGGGGAGACACAGAATCTGAAGCCGTCAACACAGAGCCCGACGCGGGGCTTGCACTCATAAACCGTGAGATCATGACCTGAGCTGAAGTCGGACGCGCAACCGACTGAACCACCCAGGTGCCCCAAGTCAGGTATTTCTTACAGGCATCTACTTCTCCATGTGGAAAAGAGACCTACCGACTAAGCCAAGGTGATTGGCTGGGTTTAAGACCCTTGATACGATTACAGTATTAGCTGTCCTCAGACATGCAGGGGACACCTGGATGCAGTAAGACAGGGGGGCTCAGGCAGAAGAGACGGTGGGCAACGGGGGGCAAGGATACCAACCCAAATAAGAAGGACTGGGCTAGGAGGCTTCAATTATTCTGCAGCCGTCCCTGGGGAGAAAAGACACTGGAATATTTTAGATACCCTGGCTTATTAATTTTCTGATGATCTTTATTAAGATAACGGCAGCCAGACTGGCACACTCCTGCCTGTTTTTGCAATAAGTGATCCTGGGCCTTTTGGGATGTGCGGGAGTGAGAAGGGGAAAAGAGAGGAGGGAGGAGGCTATTGTGGCTCCTGCACGATGGCCGGCCTGCCTGTTCAGGCTCTGGCTAGCCTGGCACGACCATCCCATTCTTACGGGTCAGCATTGAAAAGCAGCCAGGTTACGGGGCACCCGGGTGGCTCAG